AAGAGGAGGAAGTAGTAACCAAAGACAAATTAGAAGAGAAAGTCACAAAGAGGAAGAAATTAAGAAGGAGGAAGTAGTAACTAAAGACAAACTTGAAGATATCACGAAAGAGGAAGAAATTAAGAAGGAGGAAGTAGTAACTAAAGACAAACTTGAAATATCACGAAAGAGAAAAATTAAGAAGGAGGAGGTAGTAACTAAAGACAAATTAAGAGAAGATCACGAAGAAGAAGAAATTAAGGAGCGGAAGTAGTAACCAAAGAAAAATTAGAAGAGAAAGTCACAAAAGAGAAGAATTAAGAAGGAGGAATTAGTAACTAAAGACAAATTTGAAGAGAAGATCACAAAAGAGGAAGAAATTAAGAAGGAGGAAGTAGTAACTAAAGACAAATTGAAGAAGATCACGAAAGAGGAAGAAATTAAGAAGGAGGAAGTGATAACTAAAGACAAATTGGAAGAGAAGATCACGAAAGAGGAAAAATTAAGGAGGAGGAAGTAGTAACTAAAGACAAATTGGAAGAGAAGATCACGAAAGAGGAAGAAATTAAGGAGGAGGAAGTAGTAACTAAAGACAATTGGAAGAGAAGATCACGAAAGAGGAAGAAATTAAGGAGGAGGATAAGTAGTAACTAAGACAAATTGGAAGAGAAGGTGACGAAAGAGGAAGTAACTGAAGAGGTCTCGATTCGCGATATCGTCTCGAAGGAGGACATTGAAACAATTGTAAAGGAAGAAAGATAACCGAGGAAAAAATCACGAAAGAAGTCACAAAGAAGAGAAGAAGAAGTGGAAGAAATTGCGAAAGAAGACATCCTTAAGAAGGGCATCACAGAACAAGAGAAATTAAAAGAAACTGCCGAAGCGAAACTCGCGAAGGAAGAAATCGTAAAGAAAGACTCAATACAAGAGATTCTAGAAGAAGTAAAGATCACAAAAGAACTTGCAATGAAGGATTTGGAAGAACAAAAGATCACAAAAGAGAAAGTTGAAGAAATTATCACCAAAGAAGAAGTTTCTAAGAAAGCATTTGAAGAAGTTCCAAAGAAGGATGTTGGCGAAAAGATCACAAAGGAAGAAGTTTCTAAGAAAGAAGCTGAAGAAATTATCACAAAGGAAGAAGTAGAAAAGATCACAAAGGAAGAAGTTGAAGAAAAGATCACAAAGGAAGAAGTTTCTAAGAAAGAAGCTGAAGAAATTATCACAAAGGAAGAAGTAGAAAAGATCACAAAGGAAGAAGTTGAAGAAAAGATCACAAAGGAAGAAGTTGAAGAAAAGATCACAAAGGAAGAAGTTGAAGAAAAGATCACAAAGGAAGAAGTCACTAAGAAAGAAGTTGAAGAAAAGATCACAAAGGAAGAAGTCACTAAGAAAGAAGTTGAAGAAAAGATCACAAAGGAAGAAGTTCCCAAGAAAGAAGTTGAAGAAAAGATCACAAAGAAGTTGAAGAAAAGATTACAAAGGAGGATGTTCCCAAGAAAGAAGTTGAAGAGAAAATCACAAAGGAGGAAGTTCCTACGAAAGAAGTTGAAAAAATCACAAAGGAAGAAATTGAAGAAAAGATCATAAAGGAAGAAATTAAAGAAGAAAAGATCACAAAGGAGGAAGTTCTGATGAAAGAAATGGAAGAAGAAAAAATCACGAAGGCCACCGAAGGGGAAATAGTTTCTGAGGAAGTCTTCAAAGAAATCCTAAAGAAGGAAGAAAAGGTAGTTACAGAATCCGTAGAAGAAGAGATTACAAAGGAGGAAATTTCCGTCTCAACGACAGTGGAAGAGGAGATGAAGTTATCAAAGAAGGAAGTTGTCGAGGAAGACAAGATTTCAAAGAAGGAAATCGTGGAAGAAGAGAAGATTTCAAAGGAAGAAATATCCATAAAGGAAGTTGTTGAAGAAGAGAGGATTTCCAAGGAGGTTACAGAGGAAGAGAAAATCTCTAAGGTCGAAATTACCGAAGAAAAAGCTACAACGGAAGACATATTATGGGCGCAAGAAAAAATTTGCAAAAGAAAAGGTAATATCTGAGGAAGAAATTGTGAAAGGCATAACAAAAGAAGAAATAGCTAAACAAGAGAAGTTGACGAAAGAAGAAAAGGAAGTGCAAGAAACTGTGAAAGCAACGACCACAAAGGAAGAAATATCAAAAGACGAGAGTATAGAAGAAATAGTTACCAAAGAAGAAGTGACAAAAGCAGTAACTGTAACTGAGATGGTGTCAAAGGAAGGAATTCCAAAAGAAACAGTTAGAAGAAAAAAGTTGATAACGGACGAATTCACGAAAGAAATTCTTAAGAAGGAAGGAAAGATTGAGAAGGAGGATATTGTAGAGGTAACTTCAAAGGAAGACATTTCAGTGAAAATGACTGTGGACGAAGAAAAGATCACGAAAGAAGAAAAGGAGCTTCTTCAAAAGAGGAAGTGGCCAAGGAGGACACTGCCAAGGAAAAGGGTCTTGACATTAAGGTTAAAGAATTTCCCAAAACGGAAGAGGGGAAACCACTGATAAAGGAAGAGAAGCCCTCAAAGGAAGAAATGCCGGAAAAAGACATTGCCTTGGATGAGAAAGTGTCAAAAGAAGATATTCTAAAGAAAGATACAGAAAGGAAAGAAATTACAGAGCAAATCTTTAAGAAGGAAGAAATGTTTGATGTCACTAAGGAAGTAAAGGTTGCTAAAGAGGAGGTAACTGAAGCGGTTACTGAAGACGTAATTGTTGTTAAAGGAGAAATTGCAAGGCAACAGAAAAAACTGTAACCGACTTTACCACAAGTGACAGTGAAGAAGAGGAGGGAACGCGAGGTGTGAAGCGAGACCATTCCCCATCAGAAAGTGTTGAGAGTAGCATTAGTAGTGACATCAGTGGTAAGCCTCCCCCTAGTGATGATGCTTTACAAATTGAAGAAGAGATTATTAGTGACAAAGTGAGTGAGAAAGGCATAAAATCTGAATCAGACACAACTGAAAAATCAGATATTTTAGCGCTGTGTCCCCTACAAGTGATGTATCCGTTAGTGCCAAGAGCGACATTCTTCTAAAGACGTTTTAGGAAAAGACATTCCAAAAGATATTTCAGAAGAATACAAAGAAAAAGCTCCCATATCCCCAACGAGTGACGTATCAATCAGCACAAAGAGTGACGCCTTCAAAGAAGAATATATGGAAAAGGTAACAAAGATAAGTGACACTTCAAGCGTAAAGAGTGACATAAGTGACAGGGAAATTACAGAACTAAAAGTTTCAGTTGATGTCACTAAAAAGCCAACTGACGAATCCCTAGCATCGTTGTCACCAAAGAGTGACATCTCAGTCAGTGCAAAGAGCGATACTAGTGCTAAAGTTCCTGAAGAATCAACCACCGCCGAATTAGATGGTAAAGATGAAGCCCCGGAATCACCCAGGAGTGACATTTCAGTCAGTGTCAAGGATGAAATAGCAATGGATATGGAAAAAGTAAGTGAAAAGAGGAAAAGCATTACAAAAGATCTCGAAGCTCCAGAAACAGCAAAGGAGCCTACTGCACCGGCAGAAAAAGCCACTGAAAAAGTTCCTATTTCTCCCACAAGTGATCTTTCAGTCAGTGTAGCTAGTGATATTAGTGCCAGAGAACTTATGAGCGACTTAACCTCTAAAAAAGGACACTATGAAAATAGACGTGACCAGCAAACCTACTGTTGAACCTTCAATTTCCCCGGTAAGTGACATCTCTGTTAGTGGTAAGAGTGATGTTAGTTCTAAGAAGGAAGACTTATATTATTGGTATTGATGTGTCAAAGAAACCAACAGAAGAGGCACCTATTTCTCCCAAGAGTGACATCTCTGTTAGTGCTAAGAGTGATGTTAGTTCTAAGAAGGAAGACATATTTGGTGTCGATGTATCAAAGAAACCAACAGAAGAGGCACCTATTTCTCCCAAGAGTGACATTTCTGTTAGTGCTAAGAGTGATGTAAGTTCTAAGAAGGAAGATATATTTGGTGTTGATGTGTCAAAGAAACCAACAGAAGAGGCACCTATTTCTCCCAAGAGTGACATTTCTGTTAGTGCTAAGAGTGATGTAAGTTCTAAGAAGGAAGACATATTTGGTTTGATGTGTCAAGAAACCAACAGAAGAGGCACCTATTTCTCCCAAGAGTGACATCTCTGTTAGTGCTAAGAGTGATGTAAGTTCTAAGAAGGAAGACATATTTGGTATTGATGTGTCAAAGAAACCAACAGAAGAGGCACCTATTTCTCCCAAGAGTGACATCAGTATTAGTGCTAAGAGTGATGTAAGTTCTAAGAAGGAAGACATATTTGGTGTCGATGTATCAAAGAAACCAACAGAAGAGGCACCTATTTCTCCCAAGAGTGACATTTCTGTTAGTGCTAAGAGATGTAAGTTCCAAGAAGGAAGACATATTTGGTTTGATGTTCTAAGAAACCAACAGAAGAGGCACCTATTTCTCCCAAGAGTGACATTTCTGTTAGTGCTAAGAGTGATGTTAGTTCTAAGAAGGAAGACATATTTGGTATTGATGTGTCTAAGAAACCAACAGAAGAGGCACCTATTTCTCCAAGAGTGACATCTGTTAGTGCTAAGAGTGATGTTAGTTCTAAGAAGGAAGACATATTTGGTGTCGATGTATCAAAGAAACCAACAGAAGAGGCACCTATTTCTCCCAAGAGTGACATTCTGTTAGTGCTAAGAGTGATGTTAGTTCTAAGAAGGAAGACATATTTGGTGTCGATGTATCAAAGAAACCAACAGAAGAGGCACCTATTTCTCCCAAGAGTGACATCTCTGTTAGTGCTAAGAGTGATGTTAGTTCTAAGAAGGAAGACATATTTGGTGTCGATGTGTCAAGAAACCAACAGAAGAGGCACCTATTTCTCCCAAGAGTGACATCTCTGTTAGTGCTAAGAGTGATGTTAGTTCTAAGAAGGAAGACATATTTGGTGTCGATGTATCTAAGAAACCAACAGAAGAGGCACCTATTTCTCCCAAGAGTGACATTCTGTTAGTGCTAAGAGTGATGTTGTTCTAAGAAGGAAGACATATTTGGTATTGATGTGTCAAAGAAACCAACAGAAGAGGCACCTATTTCTCCAAGAGTGACATCTCTGTTAGTGCTAAGAGTGATGTTAGTTCTAAGAAGGAAGACATATTTGGTGTCGATGTATCAAAGAAACCAACAGAAGAGGCACCTATTTCTCCCAAGAGTGACATCTCTGTTAGTGCTAAGAGTGATGTTAGTTCCAAGAAGGAAGACATATTTGGTGTCGATGTATCAAAGAAACCAACAGAAGAGGCACCTATTTCTCCCAAGAGTGACATCTCTGTTAGTGCTAAGAGTGATGTTAGTTCTAAGAAGGAAGACATATTTGGTATGATGTGTCAAGAAACCAACAGAAGAGGCACCTATTTCTCCCAAGAGTGACATCTCTGTTAGTGCTAAGAGTGATGTTAAGTTCTAAGAAGGAAGACATATTTGGTGTATTGAGTCAAAGAAACCAACAGAAGAGGCACCTATTTCTCCAAGAGTGACATCTCTGTTAGTGCTAAGAGTGATGTTAGTTCCAAGAAGGAAGACATATTTGGTGTCGATGTATCAAGAAACCAACAGAAGAGGCACCTATTTCTCCCAAGAGTGACATCTCTGTTAGTGCTAAGAGTGATGTTAGTTCCAAGAAGGAAGACATATTTGGTGTTGATGTATCAAGAAACCAACAGAAGAGGCACCTATTTCTCCCAAGAGTGACATCAGTTTAGTGCTAAGAGTGATGTTAGTTCTAAGAAGGAAGACATATTTGGTGTCGATGTATCAAAGAAACCAACAGAAGAGGCACCTATTTCTCTCCCAAGAGTGACATCAGTATAGTGCTAAGAGTGATGTTAGTTCTAAGAAGGAAGACATATTTGGTGTTGATGTATCAAAGAAACCAACAGAAGAGGCACCTATTTCTCCCAAGAGTGACATCTCTGTTTAGTGCTAAGAGTGACGTTAGTTCTAAGAAGGAAGACATATTTGGTGATGTATCAAAGAAACCAACAGAAGAGGCACCTATTTCTCCCAAGAGTGACATCTCTGTTAGTGCTAAGAGTGAGTTAGTTCCAAGAAGGAAGACATATTTGGTGTTGATGTCAAGAAACCAACAGAAGAGGCACCTATTTCTCCCAAGAGTGACATCTGTTAGTGCTAAGAGTGATGTTAGTTCAAGAAGGAAGACATATTTGGTATTGATGTATCAAGAAACCAACAGAAGAGGCACCTATTTCTCCCAAGAGTGACATCTCTGTTAGTGCTAAGAGTGATGTTAGTTCTAAGAAGGAAGACATATTTGGTGTGATGTGTCAAAGAAACCAACAGAAGAGGCACCTATTTCTCCAAGAGTGACATCTCTGTTAGTGCTAAGAGTGATGTAGTTCTAAGAAGGAAGACATATTTGGTATTGATGTATCAAAGAAACCAACAGAAGAGGCACCTATTTCTCCCAAGAGTGACATCTCTGTTAGTGCTAAGAGTGATGTTAGTTCTAAGAAGGAAGACATATTTGGTATTGATGTATCAAAGAAACCAACAGAAGAGGCACCTATTTCTCCCAAGAGTGACATCTCTGTTAGTGCTAAGAGTGATGTAAGTTCTAAGAAGGAAGACATATTTGGTATTGATGTGTCTAAGAAACCAACAGAAGAGGCACCTATTTCTCCCAAGAGTGACATCTCTGTTAGTGCTAAGAGTGATGTTAGTTCTAAGAAGGAAGACATATTTGGTATGATGTGTCAAAGAAACCAACAGAAGAGGCACCTATTTCTCCCAAGAGTGACATCTCTGTAGTGCTAAGAGTGATGTAGTTCTAAGAAGGAAGACATATTTGGTGTGATGTATCAAGAAACCAACAGAAGAGGCACCTATTTCTCCCAAGAGTGACATCTCTGTTAGTGCTAAGAGTGATGTTAGTTCTAAGAAGGAAGACATATTTGGTGTCGATGTATCAAAGAAACCAACAGAAGAGGCACCTATTTCTCCCAAGAGTGACATCTCTGTTAGTGCTAAGAGTGATGTAGTTCTAAGAAGGAAGACATATTTGGTATTGATGTATCAAGAAACCAACAGAAGAGGCACCTATTTCTCCCAAGAGTGACATCTCTGTTAGTGCTAAGAAGGAAGAATATTTGTGTCGATGTATCAAAGAAACCAACAGAAGAGGCACCTATTTCTCCCAAGAGTGACATCTTGTTAGTGCTAAGAGTGATGTTAGTTCTAAGAAGGAAGACATATTTGGTATTGATGTATCAAAGAAACCAACAGAAGAGGCACCTATTTCTCCCAAGAGTGACATCTCTGTTAGTGCTAAGAGTGATGTTAGTTCTAAGAAGGAAGACATATTTGGTATTGATGTGTCAAAGAAACCAACAGAAGAGGCACCTATTTCTCCCAAGAGTGACATCTCTGTTAGTGCTAAGAGTGATGTAAGTTCTAAGAAGGAAGACATATTTGGTATTGATGTATCAAAGAAACCAACAGAAGAGGCACCTATTTCTCCCAAGAGTGACATCTCTGTTAGTGCTAAGAGTGATGTAAGTTCTAAGAAGGAAGACATATTTGGTATTGATGTATCAAAGAAACCAACAGAAAGAGGCACCTATTTCTCCCAAGAGTGACATCTCTGTTAGTGCTAAGAGTGATGTAAGTTCTAAGAAGGAAGACATATTTGGTATGATGTATCAAGAAACCAACAGAAGAGGCACCTATTTCTCCAAGAGTGACATCTCTGTTAGTGCTAAGAGTGATGTAGTTCTAAGAAGGAAGACATATTTGGTTTGATGTGTCAAAGAAACCAACAGAAGAGGCACCTATTTCTCCCAAGAGTGACATCTCTGTTAGTGCTAAGAGTGATGTAAGTTCCAAGAAGGAAGACATATTTGGCTTTGATGTGTCTAAGAAACCAACAGAAGAGGCACCTATTTCTCCCAAGAGTGACATCTCTGTTAGTTCTAAGAAGGAAGACATATTTGGTGTTGATGTATCAAAGAAACCAACAGAAGAGGCACCTATTTCTCCCAAGAGTGACATCTTGTTAGTGCTAAGAGTGATGTAAGTTCTAAGAAGGAAGACATATTTGGTGTTGATGTATCAAAGAAACCAACAGAAGAGGCACCTATTTCTCCCAAGAGTGACATCTCTGTTAGTGCTAAGAGTGATGTAGTTCTAAGAAGGAAGACATATTTGGTGTTGATGTATCAAAGAAACCAACAGAAGAGGCACCTATTTCTCCCAAGAGTGACATCTCTGTTAGTGCTAAGAGTGATGTTAGTTCTAAGAAGGAAGACATATTTGGTTTGATGTGTCAAGAAACCAACAGAAGAGGCACCTATTTCTCCCAAGAGTGACATCTCTGTTAGTGCTAAGAGTGATGTTAGTTCTAAGAAGGAAGACATATTTGGTGTTGATGTATCAAAGAAACCAACAGAAGAGGCACCTATTTCTCCCAAGAGTGACATCTCTGTTAGTTGCTAAGAATGAAGGAAGACATATTTGGTGTTGATGTATCAAGAAACCAACAGAAGAGGCACCTATTTCTCCCAAGAGTGACATCTCTGTTAGTGCTAAGAGTGATGTAAGTTCTAAGAAGGAAGACATATTTGGTATTGATGTATCAAAGAAACCAACAGAAGAGGCACCTATTTCTCCCAAGAGTGACATCTCTGTTAGTGCTAAGAGTGATGTAAGTTCTAAGAAGGAAGACATATTTGGTATTGATGTGTCTAAGAAACCAACAGAAGAGGCACCTATTTCTCCCAAGAGTGACATCTCTGTTAGTGCTAAGAGTGATGTAAGTTCTAAGAAGGAAGACATATTTGGTATTGATGTGTCAAGAAACCAACAGAAGAGGCACCTTTCTCCAAGAGTGACATCTCTGTTAGTGCTAAGAGTGATGTAAGTTCCAAGAAGGAAGACATATTTGGTGTCGATGTATCAAAGAAACCAACAGAAGAGGCACCTATTTCTCCCAAGAGTGACATCTCTGTTAGTGCTAAGAGTGATGTAGTTCTAAGAAGGAAGACATATTTGGTGTTGATGTATCAAGAAACCAACAGAAGAGGCACCTATTTCTCCCAAGAGTGACATCTCTGTTAGTGCTAAGAGTGATGTAGTTCTAAGAAGGAAGACATATTTGGTATTGATGTATCAAAGAAACCAGAAGAGGCACCTATTTCTCCCAAGAGTGACATCTCTGTTAGTGCTAAGAGTGATGTTAGTTCCAAGAAGGAAGACATATTTGGTATTGATGTATCAAGAAACCAACAGAAGAGGCACCTATTTCTCCCAAGAGTGACATCTCTGTTAGTGCTAAGAGTGATGTTAGTTCTAAGAAGGAAGACATATTTGGTATTGATGTGTCAAGAAACCAACAGAAGAGGCACCTATTCTCCCAAGAGTGACATCTGTTAGTGCTAAGAGTGATGTTAGTTCTAAGAAGGAAGACATATTTGGTGTTGATGTGTCTAAGAAACCAACAGAAGAGGCACCTATTTCTCCCAAGAGTGACATCTCTGTTAGTTCTAAGAAGGAAGACATATTTGGTGTTGATGTGTCTAAGAAACCAACAGAAGAGGCACCTATTTCTCCCAAGAGTGACATCTCTGTTAGTGCTAAGAGTGATGTTAGTTCTAAGAAGGAAGACATATTTGGTGTCGATGTATCAAAGAAACCAACAGAAGAGGCACCTATTTCTCCCAAGAGTGACATCTCTGTTAGTGCTAAGAGTGATGTTAGTTCAAGAAGGAAGACATATTTGGTGTCGATGTATCAAAGAAACCAACAGAAGAGGCACCTATTTCTCCCAAGAGTGACATCTCTGTTAGTGCTAAGAGTGACGTTAGTTCCAAGAAGGAAGACATATTTGTGTTGATGTGTCTAAGAAACATCAGAAGAGGCACCTGTTTCTCCAAGAGTGACATCAGTATTAGTGCAAGAGTGATGTTAGTTCTAAGAAGGAAGAAACTGTAGTACTGATTTAAGTTCTAAGAAAGAAGCTTTAGATATTGATGTATCTAAGAAAGCAACTGAGGAAGCCTTAACTTCTCCAAAAAGTGACATTTCTGTTAGCACAAAAAGTGATATATCATCTAGAAAAGAAGATGCACTCGATATTGGTGTCATGAAGAAATCATTTGATGAAACTGTAAGTCTTAAGAGTGACATCAGCTCTAAGAAAGAAGACATGACCACAAAGTCAAAGGATGAAGCTCCAATGTCACCAAAGAGCGATATTTCTATCAGTGCTAAGAGTGATTTTAGCTCAAGTCCAAAGGAGGAAGTAGGTCTTTTGATGATTGATACTACGAAAAAGCCTCTTGACGCCGCACCAGAATCTCCAAAGAGTGACATATCTGTGAGTGAGAAAAGTGATACTAGTTCTAAAGCTGGTAAAGAGAGCATTACAAAGAGTATCACAGAAGATATGCCACTGTCATCAAAGAGTGATATTTCTGTCAGTGCCAAAAGTGACACAAGTTCTTTGGCTGGGAAATTGGAACCCTTGACAGTTGAAGTTTCAAAGGTATCTACTGAACAGAAATCATTGTCTAGTGATAAATCTGAGAGTGTTAAGAGTGACAAGAGCTCTAAGGATGAACCAAAGAAAAGTGAAATTCCAGTTTCTCCAAAGAGTGACATCTCGCTTAGCCTAAAAAGTGACATTATTCCCGAAGATGTATTGCATAAGCCCATGGATGCAGCACCGTATCCCTAAGAGTGACACTTCACTTAGTGCTAAGAGTGATGTTAGCTCTAAGGATGTTTCCAAGAAGTTAACTGACAAAGTGCCACTTTCTCCTAAGAGCGATGCCAGTCTTAAGAGTGATACTGATAAATCTGACATGCTCACTACAAAAGGAAAAGTTAAAGCAGAAATGCCTTCAGAAAGTGTCAAAGTGACACAGCCTTATTTGGATTCAGGTGTTAGTGAAGAGCCAGTATATGCTATGCTAAAAGCAGAACGTGCAGAAATTGTAACCGTTTCTCCCGACACCACACCAGGATCGACACCACTGTCGCCAACCTCACGTGAGGTCGGTGCACCTTTCCCTGTTACATCCAGCTTTACTACAGCTGCAGTTCAAAGAGAGAAGTCGGATGTCATGACATCCTCAATTTATGAAGAAACAACTGCTACATTTACAGAGGATATTACTGATGCAATGGCTACATCTGTGCATGGAGGTTTTGACATTATGACTTCTTCTATGTATGAGCCCAGTGAAGATCTCATGTCTTCGTCCATGTATGGAGAAGATTTTATTACACATGGTGTACTTGATGAGGACACTAAATATACATTACAAGAATCTACTGTGGCCTTAACCAAAACTGACAAGCCTGGAGACATGATGTCAGCTTCAATGTATGGCACCCTTGCTGGAGATGACCTTCAGAAGTCCACAGATGAAACTCTCCCAAGTGTCTCACGCAGTAAGACACAGCTGGATGATCAAAAGTCTACACCTTATACTGAATCTCCTCGTAGTGATCTGTCCTCTGATGCGCATCATATGCCCTCAATGTCACCACGTAGTGATGGGTATGAAGCTGAATTAAGTGGTCAGTTTGAGGGCCGTGATGAAGATCAGCCTCCAGCTTCTCCGCGTTCAGATATCTCATCCATATCAGACATTGTTCGACGAGAACAAAAACATCCCGTGACTGAAAAGTCTATGATGGAGACCAGCATGGTTGTGATGGATAGCGGTCGGTCTATGTCTCCAAAAAGTGATACCACTGTAAGTGATATAGCAGCAAAGGATGGGTTAGACTCATTAGATTCCTTTAGACTACAACCTGTCCTTGACACAGATAGAGAGGCAGATGAAGGAAAGCCCATTTCTCCTCGCAGTGACACTTCCGGAAAAAGTGAAGCTTCTGGAAAGGATTCAGCTTATGATGACCGGGACAAATTATCTAGTCTGGAAAGTCAGACCCTGCCATCTATTACAAGTGACATAAAAATGTCAGAACAGACATCTGTTGTAGAGAAGCGTGTAGGCCTACAAGAAACTCTAGCTTCAGCAAAAACGATGCTTATAAGTGAAGTTTCAACTACAGATAAATTCCAAAAGGTTTCTGAATCTGTTTCTGAAAGCACAAAGAGTGATAGCACTACAGTATTTTCGACTGTCCATAGGTCGACTACCGAGGTCAGTAGCAAAGATAGCACAAAGGTTATGGTTGACAAATCAGATGTGTCCAAAAGCACAAAGTCAGAAACATTAACAGATGTTGCATCTCTGAAGACTAAAACAGGTATTGAAGATGAAACATCTGTTAGTTATAAGGGAGAAGCGACATACTCAGAAACTCAAGAAGCCATAATGGTATCTCCAAAAAGTGACGCTTCTGCAAGCTCAAAGAGTGACGTTACGTCTGTAGATGCAAAGGACCTGCCAAAGGATCCATCATACCTTGGTGAACAACCTAAAGTAACAACAGGATCGTCTGAGAGTGACATATCTGAAGGCATATTTAAAGAAGAAATCAGTGAGACTGTGAAATCATTTACAGAAGCGTTTGGAGTCAGTGAAGTGGTTCAGGGAATCAAAACGGCTGTGACCACAAGTAAGACTTCCTTCCAAGATTTCAAGGAACCTGCTTCTCCACCTCCTTCACCAGTAAAATCCATAGGTAAACCTGATTTCCCCGTTTCGTCAAGCACATCATCCCTCCAAGAAAGTGAATCTTCAGTTTTTGGTAAAGCTGAATCAGTTACCAAAGATGAAATCAAGAGTAAAGACACAACCTTTACTTCATCTGTAACAGCAGAAGAATCTTCTACAACTAGTTCACTCACACGAACACTCGTATCATCAGTACATGACTCATCTATATCAACCTCAACCACTACAACATCAGCATCTAAACTTGCATTTACTGTTGCTGATGACAAAAAACTATCTGATCTTCCTGTATCTAAGCCAGTCAAAGGAGATGACAGAAGACCATCATCTGATAAGTCTTCGTCACCTCCTCCACCCTCCTCTTCCTTCTCCTCCTCCAGTGGTGTTGAGGGTATTGTGAAAGAGGTTAAAGAAGGTAAAGACCATATCGAAACAACTTCAGCTATAATTGCAGAAAAGCTCATGGCTGAAGTTGAAGAGATAACTTCAAGCAAGACACAAACTTCAACCTCCGAGCAAGTGTCAACCGAAGAGTACAAGTCTGTCACTGCCATTACTGATAAGTCTAGTTCTGTTAAGGAAACATTATCCACTGTAGTATCTTCACAGGCGACTCATATTAAGGATAGTCAGGAATTTAGTAGCACCAGCCACTTTATGAAGGAAAAGGAACACACTGAGGAGACTACAGACCAAAAGGAAATATCAGAAAAGTACTTCACAAGTGTAAAACCCAAAATGGATACTGAAACTATTATGCAGAGCATAGTTAGTGCTGAACCTGCAGAAATGGTTAGGACCTATGATGAGCCATCAGATTCTGAAACCGTTTCCACAAAGACTGTAATAAGGCGAACGATTGTTAGTGGTGAACCAACAGAAACAGTTGAAACAATTGATGAGCCTTCAGAGACTGAATCCATAACTAAGAGAATTGTTAGAACTGTTGTTACTGAAGGTGATCCCACTGAATACACAGAGACTTACGAAGAGCCTACTGATTCTGAAACTATAACAACAAGGAGAATTGTAAGGCGAGTCATTGTTCATGAAGGGGAGCCAGTAGAGACGGTAGAGTCATTCGAAGAACCAGATTCTGACACAGTAACTACAAAGATCATTAAAACTATTGATGGGGTTGAACCAAGTGAAATGGAAGAAGTATATGATGAACCAACTGATTCCAAGACTGTGACAACGAGGAGAATTGTAAAACGAACTATCATTAGTGGAGGTGAACCAACAGAATCAATAGAAACTGTAGAAGAGCCATCTGAGACCACTACAAGGACAATTATTAGAAGAACCATTGTCAGTGGTGGTGAACCAACTGAAACTGTAGAGACTGTAGAAGAACCTTCAGAATCTGCGTCTGTTACCAGGACCACAATAAAGCGAACCATTATTAGTGGAAGTGAACCCTCTGAGACAGTAGAGACTATGGAAGAACCATCAGAATCAGGTACCGTTACTAAGAGAACTATCATCAGGAGAACCATTGTCAGCGGTGGTGAACCAGTTGAAACTGTTGAGACAGTAGAAGGACCTTCGGAATCTGAATCTGTTACAAGAACCACTGTAAAGAGAACCATCATCAGTGGAAGTGAACCATCCGAGACAGTAGAGACTATGGAAGAACCATCAGAATCAGGTACCGTTACTAAGAGAACTATCATCAGGAGAACCATTGTCAGCGGTGGTGAACCAGTTGAAACTGTTGAGACAGTAGAAGGACCTTCGGAATCTGAATCTGTTACAAGAACCACTGTAAAGAGAACCATCATCAGTGGAAGTGAACCATCCGAGACAGTAGAGACTATGGAAGAACCATCAGAATCAGGTACCGTTACTAAGAGAACTATCATCAGGAGAACCATTGTCAGCGGTGGTGAACCAGTTGAAACTGTTGAGACTGTAGAAGAACCTTCAGAATCTGAATCTGATGAATCTGTTACAAGAACCACTGTAAAGAGAACCATCATCAGTGGAAGTGAACCATCCGAAACATTTGAGACTGTAGAAGAACCATCAGAATCAGGTACTGTTACTAAGAGAACTATCATCAGGAGAACCATTGTCAGCGGTGGCGAACCCGTTGAGACTGTAGAACCTTCGGAATCTGAATCTGTTACTAGAACCACTGTAAAGCGAACCATCATCAGTGGAAGTGAACCATCCGAGACAGTAGAGACTATGGAAGAACCATCAGAATCCGGTACCGTTACTAAGAGAACTATCATCAGGAGAACCATTGTCAGCGGTGGTGAACCAGTTGAAACCGTTGAGACTGTAGAAGAACCTTCAGAATCCGAGTCTGTTACTAGAACCACTGTAAAGAGAACCATCATCAGTGGAAGTGAACCATCTGAGACAGTTGAGACTGTGGAAGAACCGTCAGACTCAGGTACAGTTACCAAGAGAACAGTTATAAGAAGAACAATTGTTGGCAGTGGTGAACCGACAGAAACTGTGGAGACTGTAGAAGAACCTTTGGAATCTGATGCTGTAACAAGAACAACCATTAGGCGAACTATTATAACAGGAGGTGAACCCACCGAGACTGTTGAAACAGTTGACGGAACAGAAGCCACAGGTACATCAGAAGAATCAGATTCTGGGTCTGTAACAAAAACAATTATTAAGCGAACCATCATCACTGGAAGTGAACCTACTGAGACAGTAGAAACTATTCAGGAATCCTCAGATTCTACAGATGCATCATCACATACAGTTGTGAGGAAGACAACTTTTACAAGTGGTGATGAAAAGACAGAGACAACAGAGAAAGTGCAAAGGCCCACTGGCGATAAGTCTGTGACATCTGTAATGAGAACCATCGAAGGAAAGGAACCATCAAGTCTAGGAATGGGTGAATTGCCTTCGGAGAGCAGAATCATCAGTACACTAAAGGAGTCATCAATCAGTTCTCTGGAGTCGTCAGATAGTTTTGAAATGAAATCCGAATCCACAAAATCTACATCAGAAACAAGTGAAAGCAAGAGGACTGTCAGTTCAGAAGAATCTGTGAAAACTTCATCTAGCAGTAAATTCAGTTCTGACATTTCAAAATCCAGCTCTGAGACTACCCATGAGGATATCAGAAGTTCAAGGGAATCTGTCTCAACAAGTGAAGAGAGCACAATGCATGAAGGTCAGAGAATTAGTTCCATCAGAAAGTCTTCAACAAGCAGCACAGAGGGTACTCCAGGTAGCCCAAGGACTGGACGTGTAGTAGTAAGGAAAGTCACAACAGTGATCACAAAATACTATGAAGATGGGGAAGAAGTTCAGACAGAGGAAATGCCTGGTGGAGAAGTTGTTGAAGTTCTCGGTGACCAACAAATTTCAGAAGATATTATGCGAAAAATTTCTGGTTCCTCATCACCATCTCCAATTACCCGCAGAAAACATTCCAGTGGAGTACCTGGATCAATGACCTACACCACTTCACACTCACTCTCTGGTCCTTGGACAAGTGACGAATCTCTCAGTGGTGAGCCAACTGTTATTACACGTACTACTCGCACTGTTACAACAGACAGCGATACTGATGCCTCTGAAGGTGTGAAGGCTAGCACTGTCACCACAGTCACTCGACGGATGGTGGGTGATGATGTATCTGATAAAGAAGAACGACCTCGATCTGCTAGCAGTGATGCAAGCAGTAGAGAAGCTTTTATGTCATCACTCAAAGAAACACGTTCTGAGGCAAGAGATGCAGTTAGCAAAGTTTCTACTAGTCAGCACCCGTCTACAGCATATACTACACACTACGGTGCCACAGGTTTGCAGTACCAAGAAGAGTATGATGATGAGCCTGTGTATGAGTACCATCCTCCTTCTGGAGCCCACATGGATCAGTTCATGTACGGTGAGCAAGCTGGGGACTATGATAATGGAATCTTCCATCTCGAGCTATGGAGCCATCTATGGCCGAGAGCGAAGACAAGCTTAATAGAAACCAGGCATGGAAAACAACTAAGGCATCAAGCAAAGAAGAGGGATCAACCACTTCTATTACATCTGTAACTACTACAACATCTGCTTCAAAAGAAAGTGATCTAGCACGTGATGCCAAAGATACCCTGCAGAAGTGGGAAAGCCTCTCGGCCTGCCATCACCAGTGCCTGCACCCGCACCACTTCAGCCCTCAGATAACCCAAGTACACACACCCCACGCAGAGAGCGCAAAACAAGCAGGAAGTCGAAGAGAACAGTTGCACCAGTTTATCTGGATTTGGCGTATGTGCCTCATGCTGCTAACCCAAATTACTCCAATGTTGATTTCTTCAGGAGAGTGAGAGCGCGATATTACGTCTTCTCAGCATCGACCCTGGCAGGGAGGTGCTTGATGCCCTCCTCCAGGCCAAGATGGAATGGGAAGATAAAGAATTGGTAAGTTTTGCTTTGGTCATCCGAGAAATTTCTTAATCCTTTGCAGTGTTCCAGTTTTTGCAAAGTTAATATTGTGTTATTCTAGGAATGATTGCTGAACTCAGGATACAGCCTCTTTGAATTGATGCTTCTTATTTTGGATTCTACATTTCTAACTTCATATTTCTGAAAATCATCTCATAAAATATGTAGATTTTCCATTAGTATATGCATGTTTTATTATATAACCTTTGATGACAGTTAAACTGTGTTGTCAAATATTTGTATATTTAATTTTCAGAGGTAACGATCATTCCCACCTATGACACTGACGCTCTGGGCTACTGGGTGGCTGCCAACGAAGACGCACTCATCGCCAACAAAATTGACCTCGCCCCATCAGCTTCACGTTGTACTATCAACTTGCAAGATCATGAGACGAGCTGCAACGCCTATCGTCTTGAGTTCTGAGCAACTTGAGACATCCCCTCTTCGCCCGTGTTCGACCACCAATAGACATCCATGCCCGACTTGTGCTTAGGGGTGTTGTGCTCTGGGCACTCGACAACCCCTTCCCCGCTGCCTTCCACAAGAATTTGAGCTCTTACTAAGCCGTCTGTGTCCTCAAATCCTAGTGATTAGTGCTGACTAGGCCATCCACAGTATTTTCGTTGAATGACCTTTTCACATGAATGTGAAATAAAGTTTTTTGTTCTACAAAGTGTAGTACCTTTGTCTTTCGAGACAGAAGTCATAACAAGGTTCGTGATAATGGATTTTGATTTATTGGAAAAAGGATGGTATTCCACTGGATTTAACAAGAAAAGTGAATGTTCTGCTATTAGTAGTAGCATAATCAGTCACTCACCATAATAGATGGTTCCATGTCTCCACTGTGTATAAACAGATTAAATATATATTCAGTATAATGACGAAACAGATAATGACCTCTTATGAACCCGAATTCTACATTTATCAAGAGGCACACAGAAACTGTGCTGAGAATTACACCAACTGTGAATTGTTCTGTTAAGTGACACCAAGAATGAACACTCCTGTGACCGAATAGGGCTAAGCAATATGCATTTTACTGTAAATCGATAAATAGGATTATACACATTCAGCGTGATATCTACTGCAGTCTCTAGGTAGGCCATGATGCAGACATGGCTAAGAAACAGATTGCTCATTTTGTAAAATAAAGCGTTATGAAACTGTTCTTGACAGTGATAAGCTATATAGAGTTTAAGGCATATATAAAAAAAAGAGTTAAAATGTCTTTGTTATGATATGATAAGATGTATACTAGTAGTTTATAATCAGCCGGTTGATGAGAGCTAGGCCTATTTTTCTTGAGCGGGGCTGAGAAGTTACAATATTCTTTATCTTCCAGAAGGTGAATGTTTGGGAATACAGGGAGAATGAGTGAGAAATTATGACTTTTATCTCTGGAACAACAGTCTCTAACGTCCACAGAAGCAGCTTAGTACATACTAATTATGACACATAATTATGATTATTTTCGATAATATGGTACTCATGTTTTGATGATATGCTGGAGTCCATGTTATGAGTCGCTGAGAAAGAGTCTTGACTTGATTGTGTTAGCCACGAATATACTCCTATACAGACTATGTACTCATTGCTTTTTCCGTATGTGCTAAATAGTATACGTGTACTGGAGTGGTATGAATGTCTTTTGTGATTTCCAGTGTATTGCTTAATATGCCTTGCTATTAGTAACTTTTCAACTTATTTTTACTTTTGAGCAAGTCATTCTCTTTTAAGAGATTTATGAGCATTCCATAATCAGTCCAAAGCAAGCAGAAATAAAAAAGGAATGATTTTAGTAAATTTGTGAAGTGATGCACCTTCAAGGACAGATTTGGCTGATGAACCTTTAATACATTGGTGCTACAACAGATGGTCTTGCAAGTCACAAGTTTCATGCACGAGCCGTTATGAGGTGCTGGAAGCCATGGGGGTGGCTCCACTGCCCAGGATTACGTACATGTAACAGACGAGCAAAATGGTATGAAAATGATGAGGAAATGGTACAGAAAATGTTGAAAAAGGTAATATGCCTTTCAAAGTGCCGCAGCTTCTGTAGGTCAAACTGGTCACCTACACTAGTTTCCGAAGACATTACCAAGGGCTTGGATACTGCTTTCCTGTGTGGAAGCTCCTTCTAATGACCAAATAGTCATGGTCAACTGCCAGTAATGCCTATTCGTGAGGAGTGATATCTATTTAAGACAGATTTTTAAGATAAACAACAACGTTCCGTGGTGGTGTCTTCAGAGACGTAGTACACCTGTCACGTCCTCTCCATCAGGGTATGAAGAGGCCTACATCCATGCGCCACAGGCCAAGTTAGATTACTGTGATTAAAAACCTCACGTAAGTCCTGCCATTGGAGGTTTCTCGCCAGAGGCTCAGTCCCTGTGTTATCCACGAGCATTGAAGAGAGAGAACCACTTACCATCAAATTAACACAGGGACTGTTCCCTGGGGGGACACTCGTCTGGCCAGGACGCGTGATAAAGTGTCCTGTGGGGCCTGGAACTGTGTGACCAGAAGAGTTGTAAGGTTCATATGTTTCATGTGATGGCTTTAGGTGCTTATTGGCAAAACCAGAGAGCTTCATGCCCCTTAGCTTATTTATTGCAAAATTTAGGACCTTGATGGTTCTTTATCAGGTTGAGTTGCCACCTTAAGAATAAAAAATTAAACCCAAAATATTGTATCCCCTTTCCTTTATGTACAGGAAGACTTGGATGAAAAACTTTTAAAGTTTTGACGAAGTGAAAGTGATTTTTCAGAGAAAATGTCTGTGAGTGAAAAGGTTAGTGCAACTGGATTTTATTATTTATTTATTTATTCTCCAACACTGTGCCCTATAGAAGTTCATGAGTGCCTGACACTCTGAAATTTATTCTCTTTAAAGGTTGAATGACATGTGATATGATAATCATAT